TGTGTGTGTGTGTGTGTGCGCGCACGCGCGCGTCTAAAAGAGAGAGAGAGATGCACATTACCCCTTTAAGTATGCTGACCCCACTCTAAATACGCCTCTACCCCGATATAATGCTGTCCTCGGAAGCCAAAAAATCTTACCGCGTTATAGGTGAAACTGCGTTATATCGAACTTGCTTTGATCCGCTGTAGCGCACACGCCCCCCCCCCCCCCGAGGGCTGCTTTACCGCATTATATCTGAATTCGTGTTGTATTGGGTCGCATTATATCGGGTATATCGGTGTAGAGGTGCACATTGATTTTTAAAGTAGATCAGCAAGTTGAGACAACAGCGGCTGCCTGTAAGCTCCCTTTGTCCTGAGCCCTATAGTGTCCGTCTGCCCGCTCTGGGGAGATGAGATATAGGACGGCAGAAGGAGGGGGACACCCTGACATCACCACGCCTCACCTCTTCCCCTTCACCCCCTACACAGCAAGCAGAAGGCTCCCAGGAGCAGCTCCAAGGCAGAGGGCAAAAGCAGCAGGAGGGCGAGGTGGGGCGGGAGGGGGTGGGAGGGGGAGGGACACCTGAACTACCCCACAACTGATAGCCTGCTGGGCAGCTGCCCCACAGTGAACTTAGGGGAGCTGATAAGAGGGCTACCGGCCCACCCTGGTTCCAAGCCCCCACCAGCTCGCTCCAATGGACTGCTCTTCCTGCAAGCAGTGGACAAAGCAGGCAGCTGCCAAACAACATTAAGGGAGCATTGCACAACTTTAAACCCGCATGTTCTCTAATTGATCAGTAGTGTAACAAGTTAACCAGGACCACATTCAGTAGGAGTTACTGTACCTCCTGCTTCCCTGCCCCTTGTGACAGGGCTTCCCCCTTTCCACTCTCCAAACTTGCTTCCTCTCAGTCTACCCGCAGGGCCTGAATTACAGACTGCAAAGCAACAGGGGACCTACCCTTTGGGGCAGTGTAGCGGCTCTAGGCCCAGGATCTGGTCCGTAGCTGCCCCAACCCCCCGCCCACTGGGTATAAAGGTTGCGGGGGAGGTGGGAACGCACCCAATAGGCAGGTCTCTGCACGTGCAGCTGGGTTCTTTCTTCGCTCTCACGCCCTCTGCCTCTTCCTCCTCCAGCCTAGCCACAGTCCCAGGGTGGAGGGACGCTCGCGCTTCCCCCTGCAAGCTGCCACTCTCTGCCAGGGGCTGGTCTCCACCCCCCCGTCTCGGGCTCTTTCCCCTCACTGGGGCTAGCGCTAGTTCTGCCCCCAGGCCACCTCTGCCGGGTACTTCGGGACTGACCGCTCTGCTGCTTTCCCAGCGCAGCTGAAGATGTCCAGGAAGCCGGGCGGCTTTTTGCAGGAGGCTTCTCACCAGATCACGGCCGGCGGCTCAGCGGGTAAGTCGGACATTTTCCTCCCAGGCACTCTGCGCTGCCTGCTCTCTGATTATTATGTATTGGAGAGTGTGATTCAGTTCACCAACATTTCCTGACTTTGGCTAGCCGTGGGCACAACCTCCCCTGGTGAATGCGCTGCGAAGCTAAGCCTGGGCACGTGAAAATCCACTCTGCGCCCCCTCCCCCCAAACGTGTCCTGGGCATGGAGTCCAAAAAGCCTTGATCAAGTGCCCAGTCTCGTCCCACTCCCTGGCTGTTGGCTGCTCCTCCCCCTGTGTGTGCGTGCAGCCAGTTGCACTGACTAAAGGAGATGAGGTGACAGCCTGCTCTTTGGTTCCCTGCTTCAACAGTTCCCCTGTCTGGGAACTTTAAACCAGCCTCCTTGGCGTTTTGATTCAGCTCTCTTAACCCAGAAGAACCGAGTGGATTTCCCCTCCTTTGATTTTACAAATAAACTGAATGGGTGTAGAAACTAGTATGTGTAGTTCTCCTGTCAGTGTTTGTTGCAATATATAGCAGTGGACTATAGGTTGCTGATAAAATACAGTAACTCCTCACTTAATATCTTCCCAGTTAGGCAGCTGCCTACTTTGTCCACTGCTTGCAGGAAGAGCAGCCAGTTGGAGCCAGCTGGTGGGGGCTTGGCACCAGGGTGGACAGGCAGCCCCCGCATCAGCGCCCCTAAGTTCCCTGTGCAACAACCGCCCAGCAGGCTATCAATTGCTGGGCAGTTCAGCTGTCCCTTCCCCCCCCCCCCGGCCCCAGTGTTGCCCCTGCCCTCTGCCTTGGAGCTGCTCCTGGGAGCCGCCTGCTTGCTGTGCGGGGAGTGGGGGGGGCGGGGGAAGAGGGGTGCTGATGTCAGGGTGTCCCCCTCCCCCTGCTCCTCCTCCTGTACCCCATCTCCCCAGAGCAGGGGGAGACACTACAGGGCTCAGAGTAAGCTTGCTGGCAGCAGCTGCTGTTTCAACTTGCTGATCTATTTAAAAAGTCAATGTACTTAGAGTAGTGTCAGCGTACTTAAAGGGGCTGTGCATGTCTCTTTCTCACACACATGCATCCCCCAGGCACTTAGGGAAGTGGAGGGAATGGTGCACTCCAGTGGGATAGAATGGGTTCATCATCACATTCAGTTTCCACAGGGATGTTTGCAGCCACTGCCATGCATCTATTGTCACCTCCCTCCATTAGTGCTGCCTTGTAGAGTGTGAGGCCACATTAACAGTTCATCATTTAGCAGCAAGGCATTCTCTGGGAAATATCCCACCCTCTGATTCCACCACCTCAACCAAGCTTCACAATTATCATTGCTGTGTACAGTATTAAATTGTTTGTTTATATATATATATATATATATATAATAAAAAGACTTTAACTACTTGTACTGTGCGTGCGTGTGTGTGTGTGTGTGTGTATATATATATATATATATATACACGCACGCACAGTACAAGTTTTAAAGTCTTTTGTCTGGCAAAAACAATTTCCCTGGAACCTCCCCTCCCCATTTACATTAATTCTTATGGGGAAACTGGATTCGCTTAACATTGTTTCGTTTAAAGTAGCATTTTTCAGGAACATAACTACAACATTAAGTGAGGAATTACAGTATTCTCTCTGAGGCCCCAAAAGCTACAGTTTACAATAGTGTTACAACCGTATTTTAGGCCATTATGGAATAATGGTGAAATATTTAAAACATAGGAATGGCCATACTGGTTCAGGCCAATGGTCCATTGCCTTCCAACATTGGCTGATGCCCGATGCTTCAGAGGGAATGAACAGAACAGGGCAATTTGGGGAGTGATCCATCCCCTGTCTTCCTGTCCCAATTTCTGGCACTCAGAGGTTTTGAGGACTCTGCTGTACTTTGGACTAAGCTTGTATATAGCGTAGCATGATTATTTTTTAAAGGCTGCGATGATTTAGATCGGTTTACTGTTTAACAATAATGGTGCTACTGGTCAACTGTGACTGCTTTATCTTTTCCTTGCAGAAGCATGGACTTAATTTAATATATTTTCCATATTTGCATACTATGATCCTCTATAAATCCTTATTGGAGTGTTTATACCATATAGAAAGCAGTGTTAAACTTCGGAAACTTACCTAGCATTTTTGTAACACATTTTATGTAGCACATTTGATATCATTAAGTTAAAATAGATGCTGGATTGTTATTACTGATGTAAAATATTATGTCCCATTGTTAATAGTACTTGAAGGTATGTCGTTCAGGGTTTACAGTTCTGCAATATTAATAGTAAAAATTGCACTGCATTGAAACTGTAACTATTTAAAATGGAAGCACACTGTATTGCTCTTTGTACTTTAGCAGTAATCTTTAAAATCAGATATACTGTTGCATCTCCAGGAAGAAATGAAAGTACCTAACATCTTACACTTTTCTAAGATAAATATAGTATTAAACTAACAAAATCAACTTGTAATAATCAATGACATTATTTTTAAAAAATGTACCTGTCACTAATTGATTAGATTATTAAAACTGTAAACTTTAAATATCACAAATTTATGATATTCAGTTTTTGCATTTAATTCAGCTTGGACAATGACAGTATTTCTAGTTTCTGATTGTTATGTAGTAGAACATTTCAGTGTTTGGGTTGCAAGTATTGCAGAGTGCGCTCATGTCTAAAGAAAATATTACTTTTTTAGTTAGATTATTTAAATCATGTAAGCATTTTAACTAGGTGGTGTAAAATATTTTTTATTAGACTTAAACTAGTAGACAGTATCTCTTTTGGCTTAAAATACTTAACACTCAGTCTGTCATTGAGGTACTATAGTCTATTACAATGGTTTTCAAACTTTTTTTCTGGCAACCCAATTGAAGAAAATTGTTGATGCCTGCGACCCAACAGAGCTGGGGATGAGGGGTTTGGGGTGCAGAAGGGGGCTCTGGGTTTGGGGGGGCTCAGGGCTGGGGCAGGGGGTTGGGGTGTGGGAGGCGGTCAGGGCTGGGGGTATAGGCTCTAGGGTGCAGCCAGGGATGAGGAATTTGGGGTGCAGGAGGGGCTCAGGGCATGGGATTGGGGTGCAGGGTTAGGGCACGGGCTTACCTCAGCCTACTCCTGGTCATACAGCAGGGTTGCTAAGGCAGGCTTCCTGCCTGTCCTGGCACCGTGGACTGCACTGTGCCCCAGAAGCATCCAGTAGCAGGTTCGGCTCCTAGGTGGAGGTGCGCAAGAGGTTCCACCTGGCTCTTGTCCGCAGGCGCACACACACAGCTCCCATTGGTTGGTTCCTGGCCAATGGGAGCGCAGAGCTGGTGCTTGGGGTGGGGGCAGCACGCGGAGCCTGTGCCTCCCTTTCTCCCCCCGCTGGTCCGCCTAGGAGCCGGACCTGCTGCTGGCCACTTCCGGGGCACAGCACGGTGTCAGAACAGATAGGGATTAGCCTACCTTAGCCAGGCAGCACCAGACTTTTAACAGCCCAGTCAGCGGTGCTGACCAGAGCCATCGTGACTCAGTGCCTAGGGTTACCATACATCCGGATTTTCCTGGACATATCTGGCTTTTTGGTCCTCAAATCCCCGTCCGGGAGGAATTTCCAAAAAGCCAGACATGTCTGGGAAAATGGGGAGGCATGGTAAGGGGACCGCCTCCTCCCCGGGCTCCAACTTTCCCGGTTCCCGCTGCTCTCCACCGCGCGCCGGGGCTGAAGCAACTTCCCCAGTGCAGCAGCTGCCGGAGCCCGAGGAGGAGGCGGCTGCGCGCTCGGATGCCGCCCGCCGCCTCTGTGCCCCCGCAGATCAGGGAGGTTTTTAGTTTTGCTGCAGCCACTCGCACTTGGGCAAAAGACGCTCAGGGGACCCCGAGTGCGAATGGAGTGGCTGCAGCAAAACTAACAACTCCCCCGATCAGGGCCGGCTTTAGCAAGAGTGGGGCCCGATTCCCCCCAGGAATCGGGCCACGCTCTGGCCGGACCTCTGGCTGGGGTCATGGGGCTTAGGTCCGGGCTGGAGCCGCTGGGGCCGGAGCCGGAGCCGCTGGGGCCGGGGGTGTTCGGCCACTGGCTGGCGCCGCTCGGCCAGAACTGGGGCCCGAGCCGAGCTGGGCCGGAGCTGCTGGGGCCGGGGGCGCTCAGCCGCTTGGCTGGGGCCAGTGCCCTGGGGCCTGAGCCGAGCTGGAGTCGCTAGGGCCGGGGCTGGAGCTGCCGGGGTTGTGGGTGCTGGGCCAGAGTCGGGGCCGGAGCCGCTCGGACGGGGCCGGAGCCGCTCGGACGGAACCGGGGCCGGTATCCTGGGGCCCGGGCCGGAGCCAGAGCCTCTTGGCCGGGGCCGGCCGCCGGAGGGAGCCGCTTGGCCGGGTGGAGGGCGGACTGGGCCGCGCCTTCTCGCGCCCCCCGCCCTGCCGCCGCCCCAGTTTACCTGCTGCCTGCCTGTTTCAGGCTTCCTGCGAACATTTGATTCGCAAGGAGCAGGGGGGCGGAGCATTCAGGGAAGGGGAGGAGGGGGAATGCGGGGTGCTCAGAGGAGAGGGTGGGGACTTTGGGGAAGGGGCAGAGTTGGGGCAGGGCCGGGGGTGGGGAAGGGGCGGAGTTGGGGCGGGGCTGGGACCCCTTGGAGAGTCCTCTTTTTCCATTATTGCAATATGGTAACCCTATCAGTGCCTTACATTCCACGGCCCCCAGTTGGAAAACCACTGGTCTAATAGGCCTTGATACAGTAAAGAGTATAAATGTGTTTAATTTCAAATCCCACAATATACAGTATAAACCTGACAAATATAAATACCGGTAAATAAAGCAAACAGTCAAAAACAAAGCCACTTAAACACAACAAACATTAGTTAGTCTGGAATAGCAGATTTTCCATCTCAGATCATTATCCAAATCTAATGGGTTTTTCTCTTCTTGAATATCACTTTTTTGTTTAATTTTGCTTTTAATCTTTGCTACAAGGAGATAACACTCATTTACCATCCTTGATTTGCAAAAATAAATACATGCAGTGATTCTTAGACAGAATTAATAGTTTG